CAAGTGGTGGTACGGCGAAGGAGATGGCCTCAGGTGGTGATCCAGCAGAGCTAGGGGTGTCAATATTTGACACGACCCGAAAACCCGACTCGAACCCGACCCGAAAATTTCGAGTTAGGGTCAACCCGAACCCGAAACGGGTTGGGTTCGGGTTCAACATTTCGACCAGTTTCAAAATTTGGGTCGGGTTCAGGTTAACCCTTGACCCGATTTTGACTCAAAAATCCGATTTTGACCCGACAACCCGAGATTGACCCATTTTTTTACCCGAAAAAGAGGAAATAGACTCATTTTTTACCCGAAAAAGAGGAGATAGACCCATTTCTAACTCGAAAACTAGCAATTTTTTGTTGGAAACGGGTCATTCAGGTCGTGTCGGGTTGACCCGGACCAGAGGCGGGTCGTGTTCGGATCAGGAAAACTGACCCGTTTTTAAAAACGTGACAGGTTCGGGTTGACCTGAATAGTGCCGGGTCAGTTTCGGGTTAGACCCGAACCCGACCCGTGACCCGAAATTGACACCCCTAGGCGGAACACAGGGCATCAGGTGGTGGTCCAGTGGTGGTTCGACGGAACTCCGGCGGTGATCCGACGATGGTTCGGCAGAACTCCGATGGTGGTCGAGGAGACAAAGAGGCAAAAGCGATCTCCGATATCTCTCTTTTTTTTCTTAGGCTTAGGGGTCCCTTTCAAGAAGAGAGGGATCTCTATTTATATATTTTGGGAATGACATGGTCCGTAAATAGGTGGAGGACCAAGGGCAAGTTGGGAGTGGTTGAATGGACGTCCGATGTTGAATCCCTTGATCATGAACCGTTTGATGGACATTTGAATGTCTTAGTGATGTCGGAATTCAGTGATCTTGGGTTCGTTGGATTCGTCTTGTCGAGCCGCTTGATTCGACTATAAGCTTATTATGTTTGGAAACCGTTTAGTAATCCAATTTGTGGTTTGAACCTTCCAATAGCGCTTCGGGTCCTTGATTTGGACCCATTTGGGCTAGGATTGGGTCGAATTTGGTGTCGTTGGGTTCGTATTTCCGAGACGCTCAGTTCGACTGTAAGTTTGCTGAAATCGGAGTTTAGAAGCTCTTAATTTAATTTCGGAAGTTTCCAACTTGATTTTGCTTTGAGATTCGTGCCCGATCAAGATAATTTTTGTACGATGTATCAATGTTAAACCTATACTTGCATATAGAAGACACTCATGTTAAACATACATTCCATTTGGCCCTCAACATTCAAATAGTAAACTTTGTTAAATAGCTATGAAGATGTCTAGTCATAAAAAACTTTAAAAATCATGGCTAGTTGTTCAAAATAATCGCTAAAAAACTCATGTTAAAATCATGATACCCTCCCTCCTCTCCTTTATAATTTGACCATGAAACTTTCATGAATGCACTTGAAAACATGCAACTCTTCAAACTTCGCAAAATTTTAATGCCCCTTGTGCTTCTTCTATATCTATAATGCTTAACAAGTTCTTATGATTTATAGTTCTTATAGAATTTGCACAACCTTTTATCATAGTTGCGAGGATATGACCACATGAATTTAGAGCAAAGTTCAAGAATATCTGACTCCTAAAGTGGAATTTGTATTCTGTGCTGAGTCCGAAGCGTTCGGAGGCCAATAAAAATATGTCACATCACCCAAAAAATATTATCAAGCTCATTACCCTCGCTCGGTACTGAGCGCGTAACCGAACGGGAGAACCATCCGGTGTCCGCACAGAATAATAGCTCCTTAAAGTCCCACCACATGGTAGAGTGTGTTGGATCTGTGTGCATGATTCTCAAAGATATTAAAATCAAAAACATACATTTGAGGAGAGATTAGCCAATATGGAGAGCTGTCACATTGGATAAGATTGTTAAGTCGTGTAAGAGTTTGATAGTTGAAAAGCATGTTACTTAAAAATATATGTAGGAAAAGTAATAACAACATCGTTGTCATCTCAATCCTCATATTTGCAGCAAGCATTTGTCTTTTATCTCAATCATTAATATAGAGAAAATGATCTATTCATTATTATCTTCAACTTATATAAAAAAAATCATTAAATATGATCTTTATGCAGTCATAAATGTAAGTAGATTTCACAAAAAATTCTATATCATATGATTATGAAATTTTTAGTGTTCAATTATCCTAACAATATTTAGCATAACTTTGTTCCACTTAATGCATTCCATAGCATGATAGCACCTAAAATACTAATTCCTCTTGTCCACTTGACCTTTGAATAATATAATTCACCAAGTAGTCGTATTGTAACCTAGAATATTCGCAATTGTATAATAGAAAAAACTATGCCGCTTAGCATTGCACAAGCATCCAACTCCCATACGGATAGTAGAAACACCCGAATTTTTTACATGAAAACCTTCAAAGGAAAAATCATGAGGCCACACTAGTCAAAATTGATCAAATAATATTTGAATAAATTATAAATAATTTACTCGTCCTCAAATCAACGTGCTCAAATCTAGCGAAGAATAGGAATCAAATGAAATTATGGCGATGGTCGTTGGTCGGAGATAAATCCGACGTTGGTGGGAGGCTGAGTTGAAGTCCAGTGGTTGTCGGAGGCTGGGTAGAAATCCGGCACAGTTTGCGGTCAGGCAAAAGTCCAATGATAGTCTGATGCAGTCGAATAGTCTAGTGGCCCGAGTTGAAGTCCAGTGGCAGTCGAAGGCCGGGTAGAAATTCGGCATCAATTTGCAGTCAGGCAGAAGTCCGGTGATAGTCTGACGCTGTCGAGGAGTCTAGTGGCCGAGTTGAAGTCCAGTATCAGTCAGAGGCTGGGTAGAAATCCAGCATCAGTTTGCAGTTAGGCAGAAGTTTAGCAATAGTCAGATAATGTCGAGGAGTTTAGTGGCAAGAGAACTCTAGTTTCTTATCTTCCTTCTTTTTTCCATCTCTTCCTTGTTTGGGTTCCCTTCAATGAAAAATGATGTGTCTATTTTTATTTTTTGGGAGTGGCATGACCAATAATAGAAGGGAGATCAAGGATACGTTAGGAGTGGTTTGAATGGACGGCTGATATTGGTCCCCATGATTGTATCAGAATTTGGCAATCTTGGGCTTGTCGGATTCTTCTCGTCGAGACTCTCGATTCAACTATAAGCATGTAATGTTTGGAAACCGTTTGATCATTCAATTTATGGTTTGAACCTTCCAAAAACGCTTTGAGTCTTCGATTTGGACGCATTTGGGTCGGATTGAGTCAAATTTGGTGTCGTTGGGTTCATCTTTTCGAGACATTCAATTCGACTATAAGTTTACTGAAATTAGAGCTCGGATAATCCCATATTAAATTTTAGAAGTTTTCAACTTGATTTTGCCTTGAGATTCATGCACGGTCATGATTAATTTGTGAGGATATATCAAGTCTGTAGAAAATCCAACTAATAATAGCTGATTTGCTTGGATTACCAAATCAAATCCATATTAGTTTCATGAATTTGTCTTCAATAAAATAAAAAAAAAAAACATATTAATTTAACAAAGAAAAGAACTTGAGCATAGTTATTTAAACAAAGCTAAGAGCCCTTTATTAATTAACATGGGAAAAAAATACTTTAATAGGAGAAAATCTAATCCTAATTTGGTTTTCACAGATCTAAAATGAGAGTACAATTGTTTTAATAAGAAGAAATGGCCATAACAACCTCAATTCATTTCTGTTAGCGGCTCTCATTTTAATAAAAGGATTTTTTTGTGTGTTTTTAATTTTATCTTTCAGTATCAACAAACAACCAAAACCACAATGCTACTAATTGAATATTAGCCTTTTGTTAATTGAAAAGTACCCTAAACCCTAAACAACCAAAAGCCACCACAATTCTTATAGCTAAACAGAATCCATACAATTCAAGAAACAGATTCAAATATGCTACTGCTTGCCATAGAAAAATATATTATCTTTTTTTCTACAAATAATTAGTAGCATACATTTTCTCTCCTTCACCCCTCCTTATATGGAGTAATTATTCCGTCAGATTACCGAATGCATCCGAAAATTAATAACAAAACGCCACGTCACTAAAGTGCTCGGTACCATGCTCGGTACAGCACTCGGTACCGCGCTCGATACACTTGGTATGCTCGGTATTTTCACCGGATGTAATAATTTTTCCCTTATATGAAGGAGGTATTGGTTCTAATCATATGTAGGATATAAGTAATCATTTGGGATCACTTTTTATTTGCTTTTGTTTAGAGATAAAAAATATATTTGATATCCTATTTTGTATAAGATAGTGATGATATTAGGAGTGACAGAAGCGTGGGGCTGGAAAAATGAAAGCACCTAAAAGGCTATTTTTAAAATAAATTGATTTATTTTCAAAGATGTAAATAGAAATTGCTGAAAATATAGGCCAAACATATTAAAACAAAAAACAAAAATAAAAAATGTGATCCCAAATAACCCATAAGTTAGAACAAAAGAATAATATATTTGTTAATATTTTATTGCACATGTACTTGATACACTATAACATTAATTTTTCTGAAGCAAAGCAGCCGTGAAGCCGTCCCAAACGCACCCTAAATTTCATGAAACAGCTGTGTCATACCTCCTAATGCAACTCTTTGGTACATGAATTCTGTGAAACTTTGGCTCCTTAGGAACGGTTGCAGGTTTTCTGCCTTGCATGTAACCAGCACTTCTTTGAGTAGTTCTTTCAGGCAACTTAGTCGAACCTTCTTCTTTACCTTTGAACATTCGAGAAATGGATTCCCCCTTCGCTTTCGTTGCACTGCATTGAGAAATAATAGAAATTGATCAAAATTACAAGTTTTCCTATAATCCTATGGAACAACAAACAACAATCAACATTCCCCTTCATTCATTCTATTGAAATGATTTGATATTTGATAAAGAACCTTGTAATCCTCAGTAGCTGCTTCGGTGATGTTTTGAAATTCTTGCTATGTGATCCCTGTATTGTCTTCTCTTTTTTACCATGGAGCTGCACCTATCATAAATTATTAATCATTAAAAACAACCAAAAAACCAGCTTTAACGAAAATTCCTGTAATTTGATTTACCTTGCGAGTCTGTATAGTTTTGGCAAGCTTGGCTTCTGGGAATCTGATCAACTTGGCTTGAGAATGTGTCTCTTGTATCTAAAAATTAAACAATATAAAAGAATTCAGGAGATTAGATGATGTGAAATGGATAATAATACTGAAATCATAGCTTAAGCCAGCTGAAACCAATGTGCCTATATATTAAACAAAAATTAAGAAAAAGCTAACACCTGAATCCCATCTAGATGCTTGAGTAGTGATGCACGTTCTTTCTTGGATTCAACTTGGAGCCTTCTTTCTAAATTTGCCTCTTTAAGAATTCCCCTTTCCTGAAAAAGAGGATGCAAACATCACGCTTTATACATTGCCATGTAGTAGTTAGTATAGAACGTTCGTATTAATCAGTTTTACTCACACCAGTTCTTAATCTGAAAGGTTTGGGGTTTGTTGTCCTCTTGAGCTTTACTACCTGGAATGTTTTGTTTTGAACTTTAGCTTCCTGAACAGTAGGAACATGGAAGAATAAAAAATGTGAAGAACGCTGAGATTTTTAAACAATCAAATTTAGATTTACCTGAGGATTTGAGTTCTCAAACTGGAAGCTCTTTGCCTCAGAAGTTGCTGCATTTGGGTGTATATTTCTGACATGAATCATGATTAAAAAGGTGAATATAAGTATAAGGAGAATGAAAAAAAAAAAAAAGAATCATAGCAGGCTTTATTTTGAAGTTTAGGGTAGTACTTATTTTCAAAAGTGCACAAATTGTTCTCCTTATCATCATCGTTCGTATCATTACAAGCAGTTTTAATCTCACTGCCTACTCCACTGGAAACGTTCAGATCTATATATTGTGCTTCATCTTTACAAGGCTTGACTGTTACTTCAGCATCGATCTGATCAATTTTAGAGTCCATAATAGCATGATACTCTTTACCAATTGGATTTACCAAATTAGTATTCTTCTCTTCGACATGGTCTGAACCATTACTTCTTCCACGAATCTGAACATCTCTCAGCTCGTTGTGTTCAGCTTCTTTAAGGATGCTGTGGTCTTTATTCTTTGAACCAAGTGCGCTGGACTTTCTTGATGAAATAGAAGATCCCTTGCATTTATTTGATTTCACTGCACAAGAACAATTGGTCATACCCTTTCTCCCATGACCTAAATTAATCTTCTTCTTCATGTCAGAACAAATATCTGAAATTGGAGATTTGCTTGATCCAGTTCCCTTCTTTGGAGTGTGGGAGAAGAGAGCCTTGACTAAATTTCTATCCTTCGACACCAACAGATTATCAGATGCCTTCAGATATTTGGCCTGTGATTTGTTGTTGCCTGTTGTTGTTTGTTCCTCCTTCTCACTTGTCAATGTATGCACTTTTGCTTTCTTCTGAATCGGAGTCTCTCTCAAGCTAGCTATTGGATGTTGCTTTAGCTTGGCCACAGTGCTTTTTTCTGAGATTGAATTCATGTTCCTCATTCTTGAAATTCCATTCTTGATTGATTTAGCTGGGGCGGATTGTGGGCACTTCGTGTTTGTTCTGTGGTTTATGCCAATTTAGAACAAAACAAAAAGTAAAAAGGTTTTTGGAACAACGACTGTCTCAAATACTCAAGAGCATACCTTGAACCTTGCTTGTTCAATGCTCTCTGAAACCTTAGATTTGGGCTTCTTGCTGCCATAACCTATGTAACTTGTAAACTGATTAGTACAAGGTGTGATGTCAGGATATAGCAATAGGAGGAAATTCATTAATGGGTTACAAACCCGGAGCATGAAATTTCTTTTAAGCTCGGCAGGATCTACTTCTTCATGATTCTGGTCACAACCTGGATTAATGACCATGAAAAAAAAAACAATTTGGTAAGAACTCAAATTTAATCAGAATTTATGAACTCAAATAGCAGGGAAATGTAAGAGGACACACCGATTCGAGCACAGAACCAAGACTTCTGATCCGGGCGAGAGCGGTCAGGGATGGTGAAATCGACGAACTTTGGAGCGTCGATCCTCTCATAGAACTCTTCTTCTTCCTCTGCTACTGCCATTGCTACGGTCCAAACCTATCTTTGAGAGACCAATGCGAGGGAAAGAAGGGTCGGAGATAAGAGAAGTGGGGAAATGGAGCTGGATATGAGGACTCTTTGTCTGGAAGAACTTACAATAAAGATTAAATTTTGTCGGTTTTAAAACATTTTTAGGAGCCGTTGTGCTTCGGTGTCTGAAACTAGCCGTTGGAAGTTGGAACGGCGCCTGGAGGTTTTAAAATGGCATGTTGTTGTAAATCTACAAGTCCAATAGAAGCATTCGGGCGGGTCAGTTCGTGACTGGCCCGAATTTTAACGGGCCTAATACCCAACTTGAGCTTCTGTCGGTAGACCCCAAAGCTTTTTTTTTTTTCTCTTTCTTTCTTTTTTACAGTAGCTCTGTTACGCAACGGCCATATACATGCCGATAACACTTGCATGAATTCTAACAATTTGGGAAGAAAAGTTGCACAGCTGAATAATTGCATTTATGCCACTGCAAATGGTTTGATAATATAAAAAATAATATTGTGATTGCAAGGAATAAAAATTGGTGCCATCGAAGCATGAATCCATTGTAATGCAGAGGAGGGTTGATGGATTAGGGCTCTCAACATTTGACACGACTCAAAAATCTGATTCAATTCTGATCCGAAAAAAATTCAAGGTTAGGGATCTAGGGTCAACCTGTTTGTCAAATGGACCAGGTTCGAGTTTACAAATCAATCCGTTTCAAAATCATGTCAGGTTCGGGTTGACCAAGAAACCCAACAATGATCGAAAATTCAAGTTGTACACGAAATCGGAAATCCCAATTCGATTCCCGCCCGCACTCGCAACTCTTGGGTCAACTCAGCTTGAAGGCTCGCCATCCACCTCTCCCTAGGCCGCTAGCCGACAATCCGACATGTTGACAAGTAGTCCAGCCATCCCGCCGACGACATTCTCCTTTCTCCAGCTTCAACGAGATGACGACATTCCATCTTATCCAGTGCTGCGACTTCGACGAGAGTCACGAGACAAGTCGCGTTCCACCCATTCGCGTGCTTCTTCTGCCATAACCCATTTCGTGACGAGTCAGGTCAACTCGAAAACCAAATGGCTTGAGCCCGGGTTGAATTTTATGACTCATTTGCTGGTTCGAGTCGTATCAAATAACGTCGGGTCAGTTCCAAATTCGACCCACAACCCGATTTTGACACCTCTATACTGGATCATACAAAAAAAAAAAATATTTTATAAACATGGATTTTAATTTAAAGCACTTAAAATTGAATCCATAGCAATTAAAAAAAAATATTAAATTTGTGCTTGATTTTACTCAAAATAATTAAACTAAAGGGCAAACAAAATCTGAAACACCGCAAAATTCTTAAATAAGATTCAATCCATTGCATCATATCCATCGATATTAAACAAAGCACTAAAATATATTAAATCAGACGTATTAAAGCGAATAAACCCCAATAAAAAGTTGGCCCAAGAAGATAATAACCAAAATTTGGGATGTTACTGATTATTTAAGGTATAATCTTTAAGTGAATTAGCATTTTTGACGAAGAAAAGTTTTTTTTATTATTATTATTAAGAATAACGAAGAGAAATTAAGCAAATTGTAAGTAAGGCTTGATTTGGTTGGACGTAATTAGTATAGTTTCCATTTTTTTTGGGACATTTAGGCCAATTAAGGCAAACTCACACACACAACGCATACACATAGACTCGAACCTTGGACCTCTTAGTTGGAAGCCTAAGCTCTCAACCAATAGGCCAAAGAGAGTTGTGTTAGTATAGTTTCCATTCTGAAACCTGAAAAAAGATGTCGGTTGTTGTTTGGATGAATATCTTTTACAAAACTGTATTTTTCAAACCTCCATTATCGTACCAATTTGCAAAGCTTTTTATTTTGGGACTTTTACATGCATAACACTTAAAACTTCTCTATTTACGTATCTAACACCTAAACCTTACTATTTACCTTTCTACAAGGTAAAAATCTTATCCCTGATCAAATATAACACTATGTTTCTCTCCCGTCAAAATCAAACCCCGTAAGGGCATCTCCAACCGAACGCTAAACGAGTGTATGGAGTCCTTCCGTCGCTCCAACCGAACGCGAAAATTTCCACTATTTAATCGCAGGTGAACAGTACGACGCCAATTTGGGCGTCGCACTGTTCACTCACGCCATTTTTTGCTCTCAACCGGAAAAACGCGCGAAAGGGATAGCGATCGTTACCTTCTCAAAAACATCTAAAATGGCGTTCGATTGGAGCATCACCGCGCCATTTTGAAGTTCTGCGTTACTTTGCCATGAAAAATGAAGTTTTCGGTTGGAGATGTCTTAAGTTGTATTTCTGAGATGTTTGCTACGCTATCGTCTCATCCTTGCTCGGCCTCGAAATCCCCTCCGCCGTGACCTCCGGCGAAATCACTTCATTGATCCTGCAGCGACCTGAACCAGCCGGTTGAAACCTCCTACTCTATATCATGCGCATCATCTCAGATTCAAAACTAATCAAATCGACCGAATTGAAATCGCTCCACAGGCTCCAAAAATGACTTTGGAAACGAGTATCCGGTGATTGAAGTTGTGTTGCGGCGTCTCTTGCTTTCTGAAGGCGGCCAATTTCAGTCTCTTCGCCCAGCGAAAGCTGGACCTGGGGCCGCCGGTTGGGGAGTGCTCGCGCTCGATGTAGAGGTCGAGACCGGAATCCCTGCCCTCTTCCACGATTTCGATGAAGTTTTTGAAGAAAGCCATGTCGTGAAAGCTAGCGACGAATAAGAAGGTTTTGTATCTAGGTTTGTTGTTACGAGCGGCTTGTAATCAATTAAAAAGGGTGCTGGAGCTGGCTTTTGCCTGCTTGTGGTTGCTTCATACATTTGATGTTCTTCCTAGATGGCTTTTGGCGGCTTCTGCCTCTATTTCAATTTGATGGCTGCTTCCTTATTTATTTACAATCAAACTTATTGATAATAATTTTCTTGACCAATTCAACCCATACACATGTTCAATGGTCTTCGGAAGTATTCCAACAAGAGAACTGTAATTGATTAAACGAAATGTAGATTGAGCTGGAGCTTCACACGAAATGTCGATCGTGTCGAAGAAGACGAAGGGGTTTCAAATGTAAAAAAGGGAAGGGAAATTTACATTCATACCACTATATTTCTAATCATTTACATATTTAACACCTCAAAGTTTAATATTACTCTTATACCACCCAAAACTCATACTTGACATCACTTATACCACTCCGTTTCTATGGGACCTCACGACGTATATCTTCCCGCCGAATTTCCTCATTCGCGGGAATACCTTGCTCACCTACAGTCGGAATACCTACCAACATCTGGTCGCTGCTAGCGTCTCTGGGCGGTTAAGCTCGCTGCTCGCGATCAGACCGCCGAACGGGAACTCTGGACATGGCTACAGTTGCAGGAAGCTGGACGAGGCAAGTTGAAGAAATGAAAAGAATGATTAGAAGCTGAGACACAGAGATAATGCATCCAAAACTTGATCCTTTTGGCAAGTTAACAGCAACTCCATCAGGTTGTAAGCATTTGCTCCAAAAGTTGAAGTTTCGCGCTACCAGTGCTAATACATCCAAAACTTGATCCTTTTGGCAAGTTGACAGCAACTCCATCAGCTCAAGCAACCAAAAAGAAAACAAAAAAACCAGCCAACAGATTGTAGATACCAGCCACCACTTAAAGAACAAGAAACAGCTCAAAGAAACAACTCAAGGAAACAGATTCATTTGGAAAAAAATGAAGAAAACGCATCAGAAGTCACCTTCCTCCCCCCCTGCGATTTCTGATTTCCTGTTCAAGCCCTAACTTCCTTCAAGCCGCCCGCGATACAGTAGGGAGAAGAAACGGTCATGAAGTCTAGGCAGACGGCGTGGTAAAAATGAGGTAAATAAAGGATTTGGGTGGTATAAGAGTAATATTAAACTTTAAGGTGTTAGATATGTAAATGGTTAGAAATATAGTGGTATGCATGTAAATTTCCCTAGAATATATTCGCACAAGCTGGAGAAGATGATTCATGCGTGAAATAAAGCTTTCGGGGTTTCATTTTGACGCAAGAGAAATGAGGTGCTATATTTGATTAGTGATAGGGCTTTTAGATGGTATAAGGGTAAATATTAAAGTTTTGGTGTTGGATAAGTAAATGGACAAGTTTTATGTATGTAAAAAACCCCTTTTATTTTTGCTTTTCCATTGATAAAAGGCATTTTTGGAACCAAAGTTTCTCGCCAAAACTCCTGCTACCGAACGAGGCCTAAAAAGCCATTTAAGATTGGTAATTAAAACTCATCAAAGTGATCCAAATATATTACCATTCTAAAAGATTAGGGATTCATGAAAGTTCCACAAATCATTTTACCCTTGGTATTGAAACCTATGATGTGATATATTATATCATATATAAAAGATATTTGTCGTCAAAGCTAATGAGATTAACATATAAGATTTTTAAATATGAATTAAAATTTCTTTCACAGATACTATTAATTTTCCCTCATCCAATTTATTTAGAAAGGATTTTCTCAAGTTCGAAAGGTTGTCTAAATCCCATAAAAAAACCTAACAACTACGCTAATTCACAAAAATGTAGAGATAAAATTGATGCCTAAGCAAGGAATTTTTATTGCGTCCTCCCACATGACGTAGAGATACGTCCTCCCACCGCCAAAAAACTCGATTTTTGCTCGGTATTACTAGGTATTATTTGATAATAACGAGGAATATCATCATGTGAAGTCCAATACCGAGTTATAACTAGGTATTTTTTTATACTGCTCGGTATTGCTCGATATAACTCGGTATTGGTCTTCACATGATGATATTCCTCGTTATTGTTTGGTATTGCTCGGTATTTGCTCGGTATTTCTCGTTTTTTAGCGCGAATTTAGCTCTGGGAGGACGTATCTCTACGTCAGGTGAGAGGACGCAATAAAAATTCCTAAGCAAGAACTATATTGTAACAAAATATACTTTCCAACTTTGCCCCACAATAATATTTATATTATATATTGCAATCCTTGAGACATGCATTGTAGCTTTGGAAATATCAGCTCAGACTTTATTTAGGATTATTTTTTTCTTGATTTCTAAAATAATATTTTAGTATAATTCTTTTTTAAATTTGAATTTTTTTTATTAAAAATTTATTTTAGAAAACAGTATGAAAATTATCATAAACAAAACCTCAATCATTACAATTGCATTTTTGTCACTTGCACTCTGTGTATCTCTAACTGATCTATATGGAGTTGGTGATGCAGTGAGTATCAAAGTTGCATTAAAAGGGAAGTAGGTAGTAAATGAGAACAACATGAACATTTACAAATAATTCAAATTATTGATTCATTTAAACATCAACAAACATATTTCCGCTCGTATTCAATTCTAATAATTAAAATCTTGAAATTTTCGAGCTTTTGTTTAAAATTAAATATGCAAATATATAGAATTGTATTATTTTATTAAAATAATTAATGACATCAGCATATATGATGCATCATCAAAAAATTTTGTGATCGGGCATGAATCTTGAGAAAAATTTTGAATTAAAATTTTCAAAATTAAATTCAGAAACATCTATCTGTGATTTCAACATACTTATAGTTGAACTTAACGTCTCAAAAAGACAAACCCAACAACACCATATTCAATCCCATTTGGGCCAAAATGGTCCAAATCGAGGGCTCTAAACACATTTAGGGGGTACAAAACATAAATTGGATGACCAAATAACATCCAAATATGACATGCTTGCAACAGAAAATCATAAACAGAATTCTTGAAAGGGTTGGTACATTTAAAATTGAAATTCACTTCTAATTAAGTTCAATAAAATGATAAACAATTTTCAACACTTATACATTTATCAGCTTTTTTAACAAGATATACCATTACTTTTCTAAGACTTGAATAATTACAAGTGAAAACATATTTAGTAAACTCCACAAAAAGTTGAAATCACTTAAAATCTTAAAAGGTCATGTACGTTTTAGTACTAAAGAATTTAGAAATTTACATACAAATCACTTCCTTAAGCTGGCCAATTTACACAAAACATGTTCTGCTTAGATGCCAAGAAAATAAGATTGAAAGAGGTGAAATTCCAATTGCATGGGAAATCATTTGCTCCAGACAGTACATCTGTACTGATTACTTGCAGCAAACAGCCACAAGAATATCAATAAGAAAAACGGACAATCAATTAAAGTACAGCTGTCAACATTTGACCCGACCCGAAAATCCGATCCGAATCCGACCCGAAAATTTTGGATTTGGGTCAACCCGAACCCAAACCGGGTCGGGTTCGGGTTAGAGATATCGACCCGTTTGTAAAACGGGTCGAGTTCGGGTTGACCAGGCAGGTTGCCGGGTTGACACCCCGGGTCGGGTCAGAGTTCGCATTTCCGACCCGTTTACCTAACCGGGTCGGGTTAGGGTCGACCCGTTTGAACCCGGGTCAGTTCCGGGTTCAACCCGAACCCAACCCGTGACCCGAAATTGACACCCCTAAATTAAAGTGATTCAAATGTAAAAGAACTAGCCATCCTCATTCTCAATCTATTTATTTATTTGGAATATACAAATTTTAAACTTAAATTATAAAAAAAATCATGACATCATTATTCAACAATATCTACTACCAAATGTAACCATCAACATTTCTCATTAAGGGTTGATCTAACTAAAGTACATGGAGTTTAATTTTATCACCAATTGATCTAATGAGGAGATTGACTTTGAGCGATCTAATCATTAATAAAAATACAAATTTTAAATATTTTAGAATAATTGTTTGAAGTGATGGAATAGATAAAATATTATTTAAAGAATTCAAGTTGGATAATTAAAATGAAGGAATGCATCAAACATGTTGTATTAAAAAGAAAAAAATCCTCAAACTAATTCTATAAAATATTTGTGAGACCACAGCTTTATGACGCAAAATGTTAGGCATTAAAAGAGAAACATGAAGTTAAGTGTTGCAAATATGAGAATGCTCAGATGGATGAGTGGCTTTACTCTAAGAAACACAATGAGAAATCATGTAAGTGAAAAAGTTGGAGCAGCTATTGTGGCAGATAAGTTTAAAGAGATTAGCCTAGATGATTTGAAAACATAACAAGTCAGCCTTCCAATGACTGAAAGATAATAATAGATCTAAATAGACTTGACTAGAAAATATTAAAAATTGATGTTTCACTATTAAATTAAAATAATAATTCGACTCTTACCAAAACATAAATTAAAAGAATTCATATAAGCGACATCAAGTATTGTTGTTGTATTAAAACCTTGTGCACAATTCCAATTCGAGTAACAAGGCTTTCTCCACCCCTTCATCAACATCTGCTCAATTTCATCTTTTGCAAATTAAAATCCTTCTTGCCATCAAACTTTTTTAAGTTAAATTTCCTTAGTAATCCCCAATGTTAGCTATAATATCAATTTCTTGAATTCAGCTGATTTTTTTTGTACTAAAACACCTGCCAAAATCAAGATCATTAGCAAAAAGATTAATTAATTTAAAAAAAATTAATAAAATTTCTTGAAAAATACTTACCTTATGCAATAATACAATATGGAAGTGAGAACTTACCACGTAGTAATAATACTATATGTTAAGCTTACAGTAACCTAATTAGTTTTAAGTAACCAATTACTACAAGTTATTATTAGTTGAGGATTATGAAGTATATACAATATTGGATTATACTTAATTCATACTACCTTGGACTAGGAGAAGGAATCAAATATACCTTAGGTCTTGGGGTTCTTGAGCAAGAAGCTTCTATTATAGCATATAATCATCACTAGATTGGAGCTGCAATTGTCATGTTGGGTCCATACTAGGGCTACTTGATTCTTCTTTATATCTTTCCATTTGCAGTAGCGCAAGCCTTGAACTGCAAGTAACTTTATTCACATAATTCGTTGTAAAAGAGGATGGGCAGATAAAATGTGAAATATCACTTAATTATCAATACTTAACTTAGAAATTAAAATTAAAAAAATCAATTGTACATATCCTTCACAAATTAATAAAGTGACTAGATCTAGGTTGACCCAAGAATGTAATTCTTTTGAATTCAATCAACGTAAGATTGTTAATTGATCTTGAATGCCTTGAACGATTGTTATGATAGAAATTATATGCAGCTATTAGTATTTCATTCACTTGTTGTGATGTAGGACTCAATCCGTAGGTTGATGTTTAACCAAGAAATTACACGCTTAATGAAAAATAAGAACAATTATTCAACTTCTAGCAATTTTAAATGAAAGATTGAAAACAATAAAAAGACAATTAGAATAGACAAATGTTTACACAATAATTATATGGAGCACAAAATAATCAATTCTAATCAAGTTTTGCATTACATAAAAGTTTTTCAAAAGAAATCCCTAAATTAACATTTACACTAGTCACTATTAGGATCCCTCACTCTTCATATTTGGTTAGGTGGAGAAAGTTTGCACAATCTTCATGATGTCACAATTAAGGAAGACTTCAAAGTACTAAAATTCGGGAGAGTGTTCACCTTCATCAGGATTCGAAAGAGAGTTGTCATTGAACGGGAGGTTGTCATTGATCAATAGCGGTTACAAGAAAGAAGAGGATTCGCTCAACGTATTTTTCGATGAATCCTAGATCATAAAAAACGAAGTCGTGGTCGTGTTCCATATTTGCTATACAAGAGTGGACAACAAACAATGGGTTACGGGAGCTTCAGGACAGCATTATACTCCCATCAACATTTTTTTCTTCTTCCTAGCCGCCACCCCCTCTTAATTCTTCCATTCGTCAACCCAAGCCCTAGGCCAACCTCAACCATCCACCCACCGCCCCCTTCTCTCCCTTCCTATCAATGCTCCCCCAAGCCCCCTTAATCAACCAATTCACTATCCAAGAGCACATAAAATTGGTGTCCAAAAATTTCAACAATTCCTCTTACTGTCATGTTGTCTGAAAGATTCCAGTTAAAGCAATCTTCCACTAGCTATCAATATAGGCCCCATGCGGCAGACAGAATACCACGGATAGGCACCTGCTGTTAGACTCTTTTAATAGGAGCCCAAAAACTCAGACAAATTTTAGAACAAATAATCTTCAACATACATATAAAACAAACGATAACGATTTTTTTAACATATGCATAAACAACTAATTGTACAAAAATTGCACATTGGAATAATACATCTTGAGGTTGGAAGCAGAAAATATACTTACAATGAGTAATGAACATTAAAAAATTTCAAAAAATTTGAGTATTGGACAGAATGCTGTGATTATGAATGTATTTCCCACCAAAGTGTTGCCAGCTACAACTAAAAATAAAATAGCCAACAGATTGAAAGATGGACATAAATTTAGGGGACTAGTTCATCCCTATAAGGCAGATCAGAATAGCCACAGGGGCAGACGTTAGTAGTCCCAATGACAGATAATATGAAATGCTTCTATACGATGATGTTAAAAGACCAACAAGCACAAAAAAACAGAAAAATCATAAATGCCTGGAAGAGAAAAAATATATTGCCAATAAAAAACAAGAAAGAAAAAGAATATTTAAGAACTCATGGCAGACATCATTAATCAAACTAAAAAAAATATTGCCTTGAAATAATGAAAATTTTATTTTCAAAGTAAAATAAAGTGACGCTGCTGAGGCACATCAAAGCCAAAACCATCATAGCTAACTACAATAGCAATTAATGGTGATCAAAATATAGTTTTTAATTTTAAATTCATGAAAAACTATCATTTTTATATCTTTTTAGTTTTTACTTTAATTAGATATCCTACAATAAACTTATGGATAGCTTGAATTTTCATTTCAGATCTACTTTGCAAATAGAACCTTATAATTGTAAAAATCATGATGAATCCAATAAAAAGGTAGGATTTACCTCAACGAATAATTTTCAAGTAAGGCTGAGAGACAAGAATACACCACTTTAATAGATGCCGCATCCATCAAATTAAACAAGATTGAGAAAATCTGCAGCCCCAAAAAAGAATTATAAATAAAAACATACCTAACGTGATCATGCTATTCAATGATCAGGTTAAAAAATTATGATGGCAAAAAGGACTTTAATGTTCTAGTTCATCCAAGAAAGGGATTGCTGTGCAGCACTACCTCTCAAACTTGGCAAGGCAAATGCTCACATTCACAATGAATTTTAGGTGAAACTATTTTGTGCGGTCACCAAACGCTGTCCGTTTGCGAATCAGGACTCGTCATGTCATTTTTTGTTGTGTGCCATTATATATTGGGTGACAACGAATTTTGATCTGGTCCGGTGATCACACAGAATAATATCTCGAATTTTAGAGAAACAAGCTTTCAAACTACACTCATTGGCTGCTAAATTCAGCAATATAAATATAACAAAAAGAAAGAGTCAGCACACAATCACAATAGTGCTTTGATTTCAGATACATGCCGCCTGACAAGAAAGATACATGCCACCATACCCAAACTAACATAATTTACCAACAAGAAAAACAATTGAGCAACAATCAAGTGAACTAAATACTAGTTATCGTTCAGAACAAATACTGAAATGGCATTAGCAAATTATCAATGATATATAAATTAAGATATTTTAGAAATGAAACAAGGTTTCCAGTGGCAGCAGACATCCAAGAAAGAAATCTTGGAAGAAGCTCAGAGGCTGATTTGATGCAATACAAAACCCAAAAAAAAGTAATGGACAACCTTAAATAAAAAATAAAAAAGATTTGATTGGACAAAAAATAATACAGCCTGAAAGAGAATAAATTGGGACAAACATTGAACCTTAAACGTTCATTTTTCATTACTAGCAATCTAATAGGATAAGCAAAGTGTTAATGACTTGTCAAGTAATACTTGGCATAAATGTGACAACAAAACTTGTTCACCTCCCACATCCAAGGGCAGAATTGTTTGACATCACTAGCTCTCAAGACTTGGACGCCACAAACTCTCAGGAGGCTCATAATACAAAGAACAAAAAAAGGAGTGGACAACCAATAATAAAAAAACACAGTTTTGATTGAACATAAACTTAAATAATTTGAGAAAACAATTTCATCAGCAATCAATCAATTTTGAATATTATCATTGATATTGAACAATGCAACTGGAATGAGCAATAAAATTACCATTGACTCAAGTGGTAAAACTTGGTAAAATTCAACCAAAACTATGGTTGCCTCAGACATCCAAGGAAGGAATTGATGGGCAGCACTAGCTCTCAAGCCTGGCAAGGCGAAAGCTCTCAGGCAGCCACTGCGAATGTTTGAGAAACAAGCCTTAATTTTGTCATCATTGGATCATTTGAGCAACACAAAAAAGAGGCCTATAACCTATTCAACTCGATAGAATTTTGAGACACAATAAAGGACCATTATTTATACTTTCGATTGGTTATGAAAATATTTTCATATAATATTTACAAAAGATATTGCTGGCCTCAAACAACAATTGAAGATAAGCAGCACTGCTTATGAAGCCTGATAATGCAACGCTATCAGACAGATGGTGCAAATAATTGAGAAGCAAACCTTCATTATGTCACTACTGGAATCACATTAAACAAATAACAACAGAAAGAAAAGCAACCACTAACAATACAAACAAATGGGTTGTACTAAAAAAGAATAATGAGTCACAAGTAATGCACATTTCCAAGTAGAGTTACTACCATAAGTATAATATAACATTTATAGGCAGAGATAGCCAAGAAGAGAATCTGAAAGAATCACATATGCCAATTGGTAAAACTGAAGGAATCACATATATCCACAGACAAAATTCATAAGCAATCTTAACGCTCAAACCTAACAAGTAAAATTATCCAGGTAGCTGCATCATGTTTCTGAACAAAACATTCATTAT